GAGAACAACAATTAGAATGATTTAACGCATGAGAACAACAATTAGAATGATTTAACGCATGAGAACAACAATTAGAATGATTTAACGCATGAGAACAATTAGAATGATTTAACGCATGAGAACAATTAGAATGATTTAACGCATGAGAACAACAATTAGAATGATTTAACGCATGAGAACAACAATTAGAATGATTTAGCATATGAGAACAACAATTAGAATAACTTTATGTATCTTGAACATACTAACAACATGTCGCTTGAGACAAGAATTAACAGGAACGTTAATAAATTATCTAATGTGCGTGCAAAAACAACAAAACAGAGTCAAAACAAGAATAAAGTAAATACAACAATACTTAATAACTGAACAATTATTTAAAGATATAGAATTCATAAATACATAGAATTATATGTCATTGAAGTAAATGTTTGTTTTTTCTGAATGAATGATATGAACGTAATACATAATTAAAAAAACAATTCTCTAAAGTGTAATACATAATAAAACACAACAATTCCCTAAAGTGTAATACATAATAAAACACGACAGTTATCTAAAGTGCAATACATAATAAAACACAATTCTCTAAAATGTATTAACATTCCAAACTTTAGTAAACAGGTGTTTTTCTCAACCTGTTCAACAAATACTTTGACATCTTTACACAGGTATATGTACAAAGCTTAATATTATGATGTCATGCGCATTAAAAGTAGTAAGCCCTGAAATCGAAGTCTAGCATGGTATAATTCTTTTTTACTGAGCATGGAAGAGGAAATGTAAAGACAACACCTAATTTTTGTAAAGGTTCTTCATGTACTTCTAGAAGATGTAAACAGTTACTCGTTATTAGGAATTAAATCGTGCAGTATAGTGTTTATTTCAAAGAAACATTAAGTTTTCAGCATTAAGGTTACAGTTTAGATGACGTAGAATAAAAATAAAAACGTATTATTCAAAGTGTGTCTCTAATGATTCAACACAATGTTTTGAAATTGGTCATCAAGAAAAAAAAGGCCTACAAATAGATCAAAATTTATATGCTTTACTAAAGTCGTGTTTAGATTTTTTTCATTAACTCCTACAACAAGACATCTAAAATTTAATGTTCTTGTCCTTCCATAAAAATATTTCTTGGATTGATGTTACGAACACATTACGTACTTTAAAACTTTCTGGAGAATGTCATCAGTATATTTCTAATCACGTTTTGTTTACAACACAAAACTCTAAGCAAAGATGAACGCCATCAATAACAAAAGAGTTTCCTCAGTGTCTGTATATTGATGACGTACCTAAAATGACGTGCCTCTCAAAGTAAAAATGGGATTTTAATAAAAAATATGAAATGAAAATGCACAAAATCGAGTTAACTAGTCAAATTGTTATATATATATATCTAAATATTTTATTTCCTTTTCAACTCTCTATTCTGACCTACTAACATTTGAATTTCGTGTAATTAACTGATGATTTCACTATATTTATTAGAGATACCAATTTGATATCGTTAGACAATTTACGCACCCGAGGGCGCTTTAGGTGTGAAAAGATTTTAACTGAAACTGAAAGGCAACCTTAAGGTTTAGAGCTGTGTTTTATAGGGGATATCGAATGGCTTTAGGGACTGATTAACTCTGCAATGGATTCATTCAGAGCAGGTGTAGAAATTAATTGGGTGACAAGAACGATCGCTTTAAGACTTTATGAGTTACTAACATCTAATCTCGTTGAAACGTGCGATATGATAAGAGCTTAAAGACTGATTATAGCAAGATTTGATTGTGATTTTGAGATAATTGAGTTATACACACATATATATTTATATGCAACAAAACTCCAGCTCTTTCACAATAAAACCAAAATTATAACATAGCGGCCATAATTACTTATAGTACAGTTTTACGTGCTCCAACCAAGTAGCATTGCTGTAACTAAGACTACTAGTACTACCTGGCCATAATTAACTTGTTGTGTGTAATAACACATCGCACAGTTCTCCCAATTTTTAGCAACAATGTGGGTTTGATTCGACATCTTATTTTACATATAGTCACACCCATAAAAACTGGGACAGAATTAGTCAAATAACGAAACAATTAAATCAATTTCCATTACAGCAAAGTACTATACGAGCAAACAGTTATACGTGAAAAACTTCATACATAAAAAATAAATAATATTAAGGTGCGTATGGCAATAGATAGGTAGATAACCATTGCATATAAAAATCCCTCACTCTTACGAATGTCCTTCCAGTTTCAGAAGAAGAAACGTCCTTTATAACATGAAATTTAAGTACTTTAGTTTAAGGAAAATCATTGGATAGTGAACACTAACGTTTCTCCACATACTTGAAGTAGATTTCGTAACTTTTCTATACCCGTGAAGATGTCACTGGTGAGAAAACTTTCTCTACTTACCACAGATAATCCAACAAAAGATGACTCGATTCCTTTCTTCAAGACCCGATGATGTCGACAGTAAGACATTACCTAGCCGCCGCTTGTCTCATTCTGCTGCTTAGCTCATCTCACGCAAGTGATCGCTTGGCGGAGTCATTTCGTCATTGGTCGATTTTCTTCACTACTATCAGCGATTGGCTGCTTTGGAGACGGTAAGACCCACTGAGAAATAGGTGGGGAAACGTTTTTTTTTTGTTGTTTTTTTTTTAACTGCACTGTATCATTCAATACGAGGCTTCATATCTAACGGTTTGACGTTTATCAAAACAGATGATTTGAAGCAGTTGACAAGGCTTAGGTGGATTTTAGTTAATTGTGATTTCGTAACAATAGAATGAATTTCGAAGGTAATTAAAAAAAATTGAACGTATATATATCTATTGAAAGAAAATGTACGTACAACAAACATAACTAAGATAAGACATTCTCAACGTCTATCGATTTTTGATAATGGGTCATTTTAGTAAGGTGTTCGTTACCATATCAACAGGGAATATTAGCATTTTAATATGCATATATGACTCAAGATATATTTTGGAATATTACTCAAAATTATTTACTACTACAGAAATGAAAACGTACGTTTCACATTTAGTGCAAAATGATAGATATAAATTTAAAGACAGTCCCGTTAACTCTCTTAGTCTAAATTATTTTTTGTTGTTTGTGATCCTTAAACTACTGCCTGTAATTAATCTCGGCTTTATATAGTAGGTTTACCCTTTCCCGGGCAAATAGACCCTTATAGAACCACTTGTTAATGAATTTTTGATTTAAAGTTCTTCAAGCTAGGCTGAAGGGAGAAGAATTATCATCTATTTCGATTCAAGTTGCGTCTGAGATACATGACCTGTGACGTAACCTGATAACCCGAACCCATTTCAAAAGTAAACTTGCAATGTTTTTCACCTTTAGAGAAAACGATCAGGTTATCGAGTTTCTTGCACTGGAATTGTTTTTTCCACGTTTTTGTTCTACGTGTTTTCCATCGTATCACGATCAGGTTTCGTGTTTCTTGCACTGGAATTGTTTTTCCATATTTTGTTCTACGTGTTTTCCATCTTATCACGATCAGGCTATCGAGTTTCTTGCACTGAATTTTGTTTCCATTTTTTTTTTGTTCTGTGTGTTTTCCACGTTATCATGATGAGATTTGGTGTTCCTTGCACAGGAATTTTTTTTGTCTACATTTTTGTTCTACGTGTTTTCCATCTCATCACGATCAGGTTTCGCGTTCCTTGGACTGGAATTATTTTTCCACATTTTTGTTCTACGTGTTTTCCGCGTTATCATGATGAGATTTGGTGTTCCTTGCACTGTAGTTTTTTTTGTCTACATTTTTGTTCTACGTGTTTTCCATCTCATCACGATCAGGTTTCGCGTTCCTTGCACTGTAATTATTTTTCCACATTTTTGTTTTATGTGTTTTCCACGTTATTATGAACAAACTTTACACTGAGTGAGCTTTAAATATTTTGTTTTGCGTCAGCAAACGTTTTTAATATGGAAAATATTTCTAAATTCTGATTGGTTCTTGGAAGCGTTTGCTTATTGGTTGTAGTTGGTGGTGGAGTGCGTTTTGCAGAGCACAAATTACACATAGGGCTATCTGTGCACTATTTATTCACCACCGGGAATCTAATCCTGGATTTTAGAGTTGTAAGTAATTATCGCTGACCCACCGTGGGGGAAATGAAGTATGTGATATCCAAAAGTCGGTATTCCTTTACCATTCCCGAGTTTTGTAAATTATACATCATAAGGTTGAGTACGGCTATCACGTATGTTGACCAACCTCACGAAATGCAAGTAATACAAATAATGATCCAGTTTCAAACTAAAGTAAACGGGTTCTTTGATGAAACCGTACCATTAACTTCATAGTCCTTGATGAAACCGTACCATTAACTTCATAGTCCTTGATGAAACCGTACCATTAATTTCATAGTCCTTGATGAAACCGTACCATTAACTTCATAGTCCTTGATGAAACCGTACCATTAATTTCATAGTCCTTGATGAAACCGTACCATTAACTTCATAGTCCTTGATGAAACCGTACCATTAACTTCATAGTCCTTGATGAAACCGTACCATTAACTTCATAGTCCTTGATGAAACCGTACCATTAACTTCATAGTCCTTGATGAAACCGTACCATTAATTTCATAGTCTTCAGACTTACCATTGAGCCATTGACGGACAAACGTATAGTTGCCCTTCAACATGAAATATACGGTGTGTGAATTATTTAAAAATGTCTCATCATACGACTCCCCGGTGGCTCAGCGGCAAGTCTGAGGGCTTATAATGCTAAAAATCGGATTTCGATATTCCGATATTCGTGGTGGGCATAGCTGCAGATAGCCCATTGTGTGGCTTTGCGCTTAACAACAACCTAACTAAGTAATCATTCCTTTAAAAAAAAAAAACTATTCTTATACTAAAATTATTTTCACGCAAATGGGAGATAAAAAATCAATTATGTGCGATTCTCCTGGATCTATTCTGATGAAGAAATTGTCGTTGCAATAGACTGGGCTCCGTTTGTAGTTATCAATCAAGTAAAAAAGTCAATTGTGGAAGATACCTTCAAAACGGGAAAAAATAATATAAGCCGCCTGAAGTGTATTTGATGGAGTATTTATGATTTCCTCGAAAAATAAAAAATATTATCGTGTATTCTACTCTACGCACATTCTACTACAATATCACACAAGTAAATATTTTTACTCCTTCATTGCTTAAAGCAGAATGTGAACACAATTAATGAACTAAGCAGACCCTTAAACGTTATACAAAATCAAATCAAAGGAAGATAAGCATCTTTTTATCAAACTACTTGAGAAAAAGAAGGCTTGAATACACTTTAAGATACGACTGGTTTTATCGTATATGAACCAAACCTTTTACAATAGAACATATATAAGTCACCTATGTTTTCTGTTTGTAGGCTTGGCATGAACAGGTGATTAGGGCGCTTGACTAGCAATTTTCGGGTCTTGGGTTCGAATCCCCGTCCCACCAAACATCATTTAAGCAGTGTGGGCGTCGTAATATGAAGGTCAATCCCACTATTCGTTGGTAAAAGTCTTTCACTGTTATATTAGGGACGGCTAACGCAGATAGTCCTCGTGTAGCATTGCGCGAAATTCAACAACAAATATTATTTTTGAAATTCTGGTCACTAAGATTAATCGACCAGCAGATTCCACTAATCACCCAACTCCAAATACAACATTCACTATTAAATGTTAAGTTTTCGTTTTTCAAACGTTGGCTTGTTTTCCTTATTATTATTTATATTTCCCTTTTATATTTATTTATTATTATTTTTACCTATTCTAGATAAATCTGCCATTTTAATATTTTTATCACTAAATATGATATTGGGCTAAAAAATAATAATTTCCAAAATCTCACTTTTAGTTTAAACTGTTCTCTTCCGTATTTTCTCATGTATGTTAGTGAAATGGTGTTAAAAATGTCCCACAAAATGTTCCTTGGTGTGAATACAAGTTGACACTCTCCCTAGAACCTACATATATATCAACATCCAAATGCTAACAGGTGTAAAATATTGTTGAGGAGGTGTAATGTGACCAAGAATTTCTAACGCTAAACCCCTAGTCTATCTTAACCCTTTCCCACAACTCAATAACCAATCTTAGATAATGCTAAGAAAACTTTAAACTGTATTTCAATTGAGGTATACTTAGTGATTTGTAATAGAGAACTTATTAATGTATCTATAATTAATTATTCTAATAATTATTTTGTAGAAACTTAATTTATATATATATATACTGTATATATATATATGTGTGTGTGTGTGTGTGTGTGTGTGTGTGTAGAATAATACTGCATATATAAATACCGTTTTATAGAAACTTTTGTTCTTATCGTCCACCCCAATCAATGAGTTCTGGTATTGAACGAAAAGCTTATTGGATAGTGACTTGTGGGGATGAAAATGGATTTGAAATGCTGTTTCTTATACACCTCTGATTTCGGGCTGTAATGGACAAATTATGGCGAATGTGGAGAAAAACATACAGTTAACTTGGGTTTTATAACGATTTTTAGACTCATTGGTTTTCCAATATTTTGACGGCTTTCGGGGTTCAAATCGTAAGCCTTATTCGTGTTTAGCTATGCACATTTGAGGATAGAACCTCTTTCAGGCTTAGCTGCTAAACACTGGAAGTAAAATTTAATCCAGTCTCGTGCGACGAACACTTAACGAGAAATGCCAAATCTCCTTCGTGTTTAACTGATAGTCTGTAGAGTCGAAAATATTGCGAAGAAAATAATATTAATAACAAATTTATTTATTTTATCAAGTTTAATAACCTAAGGTTATTATTAAACACGAAAAATTTCTCACAGGATTGGAGCATCAGACTTACTGACAGACTTAACCAGGTAATTAAATTGATATGATTGAGAATGGATAAACAATTCGATTTTTCAGATAACAGAAATGAATAAATCCGTTCAATAAAAATGAACAATATAAATATACTTTACTGTAATTTACAGATAAACAAATACGCAAGTTTCATCACCAGATGGCAGCATGTCATAAACATAATTATGTTTAAATGCTAGTTTTAGCTGATTAAATACTGAAAAAAACATCAGCCATTCTTCATTTGAATAGTAAGTACTATGCTTCTCAACCAGTAACTTTATCAGTTAATGGAAAAAAAACTAAGAATACATCGAGAATCATGGGAGTGATCCCAAAAAATGTGAGGAATACAACAGACAAATATTGAAAAAAAAGGTAAATGGATGTTCCAATAAATCTAAACTTTTCATTTAGTAGAAAAAAGTAAAAAATAATTGCGTTAAGAAAAAAAATTATTATCTCACAAAAGGCATAGACAACCTAATACTATGAGCCTATTATACTTTGACTGGTATGTTTCATCCAAGTTTGGCCCCCCAGTGGCACAGCGGTTTGTCTGCGGACTTACAACGCTAGAATCCGGGTTTCGATACCCGTGGTGCGCAGAACACAGATACCCAATTC